CACCTTCCCGGTGGAATTTTTTGATGAATTTTTTTGAGCATGTTCCTCATCAAGTCTAGTTTGTCCATACCAAATTTCAGCTCAAAATTCAATCGGGAAGGTCGTCAAATGATTTTTGCAAGTTAACTGGTCCGGAAAATACATATTCCGGACCAGTTAACTTGCAAAAATCATTTGACGACCTTCCCGATCGAATTTTGAGCTGAAATTTGGTATGGACAAACTAGACTTGATGAGGAACATGCTCAAAAAATTTCATCAAAAAATTCCACCGGGAAGGTGCCCAAACGGGCTCGGCCGGACGGGGCAGCCCGTCATCGGCCGGACGGGGCAGCCCGTCAGGCCGGCCTGATGAGAAGAGCCCTCTCTATCTATCTATCTATCTATCTATCTATCTATCTATCTATCTATCTATCTATCTATCTATCTATCTATCTATCTATCTATCTATCTATCTATCTATCTATCTATCTATCTATCTATCTATCTATCTATCTATCTATCTATCTATCTATCTATCTATCTATCTATCTATCTATCTATCTATCTATCTATCTATCTATCTATCTATCTATCTATCTATCTATCTATCTATCTATCTATCTATCTATCTATCTATCTATCTATCTATCTATCTATCTATCTATCTATCTATCTATCTATCTATCTATCTATCTATCTATCTATCTATCTATCTATCTATCTATCTATCTATCTATCTATCTATCTATCTATCTATCTATCTATCTATCTATCTATCTATCTATCTATCTATCTATCTATCTATCTATCTATCTATCTATCTATCTATCTATCTATCTATCTATCTATCTATCTATCTATCCACAAATGATCCTGTCCGGACGTCCGGACAGGAACCGCCGTCCGGCCGGCGGCGTTTGGCCGCCTTCCCGGTGGAATTTTTTGATGAAATTTTTATGGCATGTTCTCCATCAAGTCTAGTTTATCCACAAAAAAATTCAGCCAAAAAAGCAATCGGGAAGGTCGTCAAATGATTTTTGCAAGTTAACTGGTCCGGAATATGTATTTTCCGGACCAGTTAACTTGCAAAAATCATTTGACGACCTTCCAGATTGAGTTTTTGGCTGAATTTTTTTGTGGATAAACTAGACTTGATGGAGAACATGCCATAAAAATTTCATCAAAAAATTCCACCGGGAAGGCGGCCAAACGCCGCCGGCCGGACGGCGGTTCCTGTCCGGACGTCTGGACAGGATCAGGACTCTCTATCTATCTATCTATCTATCTATCTATCTATTTACTCCGTATATATGTCGTGTTGATGGCTCGATACTACATTTTTACTCCCTTTGTAAACTAAAAATTGCCAACTAATCTCGATAAGAGTTTCTCAACTCTCACCCCACCATTTCTGGTGATTTATTTGGAACTAAAAAGAAATTGTCAACTAATATCGCCAAACATAATTGCAATGTCCACAAGAATGCCTTTTTATTTCATCGGGATCTTTCTAGTTCTGTACTAGCCTATTCTTGGTTTCGATTCCAATACTTGTTCTGATTCTATCATTTCTATGTCGTCGCTTGCAGTGATGAGGCTTTAGTCTATTTTGCAAGAGAATAATTAAAGAATGAAACCACAACAATGATTTTTTAGTCTATTTGGCCGATTCCTCTATTCTGCTGAAGTCACTAGTGGTTGCCTAGTGTTTTTTATAAAGAAAATCCATTACCAAATTAAAGCTATTGCACACGTCTAATATTGAGTTTATGAGCACGTATCAGCACGTTTCATGATCGTGTTTTTCAGCTTATCAGATTTATCAATTATTTTTTCTTCAAATACGTAATTTTTATTTCTCGTGCTGAATTGTGTAACAATAAGAGAAAAGATGATTGCAGTTACTTTTCTAGTTGTATTAGTTGAAATTACTGTTGAAGATCATTTTAGTTACTCCGCATTTCTCATATAATTTTGTCTTTATTTTATTAATAAATTATATTTGAAATATAATTTTTTCATAAATCCGCAAAATCAATCACTTCAGTCAGAACTTCATAAATTTCAACTGAATCAATTAACAGCTGGTTTGGTGTTACCATTCGGGCTCTAAAAGTATGTATCAAAGTTTTAATCTCATGTTATTTGAAAATTGAAACTAAAGTTGAAATACATTGAGTGCGTGTAACTCAAAATTCAAAAACTGGTTATTGAGTATGATGGTTAATAAAAAGTTACTAATTTTTGAGATTATTCCAAAGTATATTATATACGGAGTGGAGTATGTGACAATGCTACTGATAATGTATAACACACACATGCACGTGTATATATTTTAAATCCGGAAGACAAAACACCAAAATCAGTGGGGTAAATGCCGAGGAAAATATATAATATTTTAATTGAAAAGTATATAGGAAAAATTGACTGCAATAATCCGAACTATTACCCGTCTGCTTCTAATAATCCCTAGTACGTGTTATTTCTGTTTAATCCAAACTTTGGGGGGTGTCTTCCATAATTAGACTGTAACCGGTTATATTAATTAGAGCCGGTCATGAATAATCACGTGATGGGTCACGTATGTATTTAATACTCCCCTTCGATTTATACTTCGTATATCTTTATCTTCTTCTCTCGTCCAACATATACGCAGACTTCTTCTGTTCTTGCCTGCAAACACAAATTACAGATCTGTTTGAGCATGTTCCTCATAAAGTCTAGTTTATCCATACCAAATATCAGCTAAAATTTCAACCGGGAAGGCACTCAAATGATTTTTGGAAGATAACTGCGTTTTATATGTATATAAAGTGCGCAGTTAACTTCCAAAAATCATTTGACTGCCTTCCCGATTGAATTTTTAGCTGAAATTTGGTATGGATAAACTAGACTTCATGAAGAACATGCTCAAAAAAATTCAGCAAAAAATTCCACCGGGAAGGGCCTCAAATGGCAACGGCCGGACGGCGGGTCCTGTCCCTCCGGCTGTCTCTCTCTCTCTCTCTCTCTCTCTATATATATATATATATATATATATATACCAAAGTTTAAATTACATCTTTCATGAGACATTAACATTGCATCTATAAAGTTTTTTTTCAAGAAAACATGAAATTCCAACTTCAAGCAATAACTTGACATAAAACCTCACTCTCTTATTATTAGAGTCTGATTAAATTACAACCTTACATCCTCCCATATAACTATCTCGTCTGTTCTGGGAGGCTCATAAATGTGGTGTCATCCTTATTTTAACCCATGGCGCTTGCACAAGTAACCAAACTTTTACTCTATATGTATTCCATTTTCACGTGGAGTTTTTGAATCAAATGAACACATTTTATCCTTTTTTAATTCAAGAAAGTCAAAAGAATTTCCGAAATTTTAGATTTTGACTTCAAAGTGAGCATTTTTTATTTCAGAACTATTTAGAAAAAAAAAACAAAGAAAATTATTACTTATAATAATTTGATTAAAAATATTCAAATAAATACACAAAGATGACTACTTTCTTAGATTTAAATAGATAGACGCCACGGTAAAATATACTAGTATAAGTTATTTTTGTTAACCTTGTGGTTTAAATTAAAAAATTTAACCTTATTTTGGATTTTTTTTAATATGATTAAATATGAAAATGTTTTACTACGCAGTAGATAAATATACACTCCATACCTACTTTATGAAAATGATTCATAAATTGATGAAGATTTTATTTTACACGTTAGATTAAATATAAATTAAACCTACTCATAAAAATTATCCTAAACTCTATTCTTTCCTTTCATAAAACGACTAAAGATCAAAATTAGCTAGTGAAAATAGTGATCATAGTGTGTAGACGAATGTGCAGATATGACATGCTACATTAGATGTAGAGACATACTCATATCAATTGAAGATAAGAGGCACGAATTTGACTTTATATTTCTATGTATTGGGCTATATTAGATTATACACTTCATTTAAAAAAAAATCGATGTGTACCTCATTCTATTATAAAATCATTTGACTTTATACCTTATTCTTTCATAAACTTATGACTATCGGTATGCATACATTAATTTTTTAAAATGTGGTGGGTAAAGTCATATCTCTGCGATTCCGTATAATTTATTGTGTTACTACTTTTACATTTGAATTGAAAAAATAATGTCCCGTTAACATTTTTCCCATTCTCATAGTGCAATCTTATTTCTTTCTATGCTCTTAACCATTAGCACACCCTCTATTTATTGCTTTACTTTTTTTTGTAAAGAATAAGTTTGGCCTTTTCCAAAGTTTTCACTTTCTTTTTTAGGACGTCTTACTTAACAGTTCTCATTTTTTGATTTAGAAAACAATTGACATTTTTAAAAAATAATTTAATCATCAACTATTAAAAATAATAATATTTATAACATCACAATAATCATTGATGACTCATTATATTATATACTCACCAAAATTATTTCTCAAAAATATAATCATTAGTATATTTAATTATTATCTACATACTTGTAGTATTTAGAGCCCGTTTGGTAACACTAAAATTGGCTGTATTGGCTGATTCTGCTGAAATTTATGAAGTTCTGGCTAAAGTTGTATAGGCTGATTCTGCTGATTCATTAAAAATTATATTTAGAATATTTGTTATTAATAAATAAAATAAAAAATTATATGAAAAAATAGCTAAAATGATCATGTACAGTAATTTCAGCCAATACAGCCATAAAAGTAATGTCAACCTTACTTTTTCTGCTTACTCCCTCCGTCCCTTATAACTTTGCCAACTTTCCTTTTTTGGTTGTCCCAAAAACTTTGCCACTTTCCCTTTTAATCAATTAATGTGTGGCTCATGTTATTTCTCCCTCCTCTACACAAATCTATACCACACAATTTTTACTTTATTATTCTACGTGTCGGTCAAACTTGGCAATCCTTTTAGGGACGGAGGGAGTATTACACAATTCAGCTCGGGAAATCTAAAAAGGTATCAAACTCGCTCTTAGTTAGTAATCAGCTATTCCACTGTTGTGGGATTCTATTCATCTCATCTCCTTGGGACCTGAGCATTCATTCATTTCACATTCATAGTAGACCCTATTCTCCACTCACTCTCCTCCATTGGCCTCCCCAGAATACAATTCCATTTTCTTCCATTCTCTTTTCTTTCTCGGTTGCTTTATGGGTCCTTTTCACGATTCCGGCCGTTTTGTCATTCTAATTACACTAAATTATTATTATTATTATTATGTGGATGGTGATGATTGTCATCATCCCAACCCCTTTTATCCCCATTTATACTTCCTGATAATTTGTAATTGCAATTGCAAGCTTCATTATCCATGCCTAAGCCAGGTCAGTGAGCCAGCAAGATTTCTTCCCTTCATTTTTCTTACAGTCTGAACACTCTTATAGTTGTTCTTTCGTTTATTAACTAGTGTTTATTGTATTTTTACAATACAGTGGTTTCCATTCTTCTAGCTTTTTGTTTTTTTTGAAAGATTCTTCTTGCTTTTGTTAAGAAGAAAAGAAGTGTATGCAAATGTGAGATAGAAGGATGGTGATATAAATAAACTTTCTTTTTTTCAATCGCCAGATAAGACTGAGATATAACTCAAGAGTTATTGAGAGTTAGGTTCCACTGTAAAAGTCTAAGCTTAACAAGATGAGTAGTATTTCTATTCTTGTTATCCTATATCAGTATATCTCACTAATGTAGTAATGTGTAATCAAGGATAAAAAGTTGGTATTATGAAAATATAGACACTTTGATTTTATTTAAAAATCCATGTTATTTTGACTTTAGATTTCTCTTTATTTGAAAAATTATATAAAAACAAAACAACATTTTTGTAAATAGTTTGAGAAAATAATGAGATAACTGAGATTTCATCTATATCTTTTGATATTTCACACAAGACTTCTCAAAATATAATTTTATTTTTATATGTGTTGGCTTTCTTTGAAATTTTCTGAGATTTCCAAGAAATTCCTTCACAGCCTATATGGATATAAGAGACCTCAAGATACATAAATTTCAATGAAAATATTGGAAACATCAAGATATTTTCATTTCCCATAACAGAAATGCATGGATAATGTAAATAAATGTTGTAATCAAAGTTGACATGCAATAGCATGCAACTGGTTCCACCCTATTTCTTTCATTTTTTAGTCTTTTTGGTACATTAGAGGATATTGTATGTCATAATGGGGATTGCTTTGTATTATTTGGGTGAACACCACAGAAAGCTGTTTTTAGTGGTCACTGGGGCTAAGCAATTCAATTCAAAGTTCTATTTCAAGCAAAACATGTAGAGTATGTATATAGCTAATAGCTCAATCTTGTTACTTTGTTAGTAAAATTCACAGTACAATGAAGATTGATTTCTCCTGGTCCTCTCTCTTTAACTAACTAAACTTTGTTTATCGCTTTGTACAAAATGTAAGTCTATGCGGTGTCTTTGCCTTTTTTCATAACACTTTGTAATTACTAGTTTGTACATCAGTGGATGTGCTTCAATGACTTATTTAGTTGTGATTTTTGCCTTAGAATTGCTAAAGATAAAATTATCACTAGGTGATAGAGAATGTGCCATACTGCCATGTACAAGACATTCTCTTTCTGGAAGTTTTCCTTGCATCAATCAGTTCACCTGCTTATGCTCATGGTTTTCTCCACGAGTTGTTATTCCTTCACTAAGCCTAAAGTCGAAGGTAACGTCATAAGAATTATAGTGCTTCCACAGGATTCCATTGGTTTAAAGATTTTAATTTATATTTGTAGTTTCATGGGAGCTGAGTTGGTCAACGCCCTTTCATTTATTCCTGCCCCCTGCTGTTTTATTTCGGCATATGCTTTTATATACTACCTCCATCCCATATTGGTTGTCCTGTTTTGATTTGACACGATTAGTAATAAAGTTGTTGAGAAGTAGAAGTTGTGGTTTAGATTTGAGTAGAATAAAGTGAAATGATAAGGACCACATATTTCTTACCAGAAAAGAAAAGAGGACATTCTTCTTAGGACAACCTGAAATGGAAAGTAGGACAACCAAAATGGGATGGAGGGAGTACTAATTTGGTGAGGGGAAACTGAGGGCATTGCAATCCTACTAATGCACGGGGTCTCGTTTCCCTTCACATTCCCATTATTAGATGTAATTGAAGATGAACTTCTAGTGAAACATACAATAATTTTCTTACTTGATCCTTGAAGCTTCATATCCTTGCAAGAAATAATAATATAGTTTTCATAGTTTAAGCAATATTACAATTACAATTTTCTATTCCTCTTAGGTTAGATGAGGTCTAGATTTCCTAATCTTACCGGATCTAGATCCACTGTTTCTTTATTTAAGCATTTTAACAGTCTCTATAAATCATCAAGTTGAAGTTCAAAGTGGTTCCAATATAAAAAGTAATTTATTATGCAACACTCACGTCAATTGAACAAAGGAAAATCATTAGGCAGAGACTATTGATTTTCATAAACTTTTCTGCATGCGTATACTGAAGCTGTAAATGCTCATATGATTGTCTGAGTCTAGTGCTGAACTTGCCAGGTGAAGCTCTGATAGAACTTCTTAAAGCTCTAAATGATTCCAATGGTAAAGTCATTGATTGGAATAACGATTTTGTGAGCCCTTGCTTCAGCTGGTCACATGTCACATGCAAAAATGGAAATGTTATATCCCTGTAAGCGGCTTTTGGATCCCCCCATTTGCGTATCCTTTAAACTGAACGTCCTATTGCATAAAAACTTATCGCTTTGAACCCACTATTATTTAGTGTTTAATCTTTCTCATGAGTCAATTAATCAATTTGCAGGAGCCTATCTGCAAATGGATTTTCAGGAACACTTTCACCATCAATAACCAAATTGAAATTTTTGGTTAGCCTGTATGGTTACACCATTCTTTTATAAATGTTAATATGCTTTATATTTAAAATACTGGAGTGCTTATTGTTAGAAATAATGATGTGGTGATGTGGGCTTGGGGCAGACTAGACCAAGCAAACAAATGAATATTATTTTATATTGCTTCTGTGATCCTTAAAAAACGTGTTTACGGCTTTACGCTATCTTAAACCCATCATGGGAATAATGTAAACGTATATGCTTAACTTTTTCAATATGCTGTATGTAATTTAGTGGCCAATGTTTACTAGAGTCATACCAAATGATTCATGTAATTAAGTCTTAATATGCTTTATGTATATCTTAATAATTCCTTTATTCATTGGAAATTAAACTTTGTTATAGCCATTTGAGGAGAAAAGAAGGGTATGGTTGTAAAAGTAATGCCCTCGCATGTTCCATGCAGGGATTTGCACGACAATAATCTATCAGGTGTGTTGCCTGATTATCTTGGTGGTATGTTGAATCTACAAAACCTGAATCTGGCAAACAATAAATTCAATGGCTCTATTCCACAAGCTTGGGATAGCCTTTCAAGTCTTAAGAATCTGTAAGTGAGGCATTATTCCCCACTCACACATTCAGCACTTGTCGTTTCTCTTGCTTGACAAACATATCCTCACTGTTGATTTTTCTTGTTAAATTGGGCTGCATCCTTCACATAAGGGAAAGTTCCCGAAATAGGACTAAAAAAGTTTGAAAATTCCAAAATAGGACTGTCATGTTTTTATTACCAAAATAGGACTAATTACTGCCAAAACATGACAGTAATTAGTCCTATTTTGGGAATAAAAACATGGAAGTCCTATTTTGGAATTTTCAAACTTTTTTAGTCCTATTTCGGATAATATCTCTTCACATAAGCGTGTGTTCTATTAACAAACACACAAATACTGTTTGTTTCGGGGATGAATCTAGATCACTCCAGATTAAATATGTACTAAGTTGGCTTTGATTGTTAATTATTCTACTACAATGATTTAGTTTATCAGAAAACTTAAGCTTTGTTTGGATGGGGTGTTCTCTTCTTCCACCGGAGTGTTGGCCATTCAAGTCAGCTTGTTATTCATTAAATCCTTCAGCCAATATTTTAAAGCTTTTGTTTCAACTGTAGGGTTCAGAAGCTTTCCACGCCATTTGCATTTCCTGAAGTACTTAATTGTAAATACAATCTACATAAATATTATCATTACTATAAAGATGCGTTTGTGATAACTTGATATATGATAAGTTATATACTACTCCCTCCGTCCCTAAATAAACTTCCAACTTTCCTTTTTCGTCCGTCCCCATTAAAACTTCTACTTTCCTTTTTTGGCCAGAATTTGTGGTTCACAGCAATTCTTACACATTTCTCTCTCCTCTGCACAACTCTCCACCTATGTAGCACCGATACCGGTACGCGGAAACGTGGAAACGCGGAAACGGGTACGGGGATACGTCAAAACCAAAAAAAAGTAGGATACGGATACGTGGCCATATTTATAAATATTAAAAAGTATGAGGGTGTATTGACAAATATTAAAAGTTATAGGGGTCTATTTATAAATATTAAAAATAGATTATTTTTTTGAAAATATATATATATATACACACACACACACACATAATATCCTATGATGTCTACTCATTCATTGCATTGAAGCATTTTCCTTTTTCAAGATATTTAGTAATAAATTCATAATATTTTTCATGTACACTAGTGCATCTCGAAATATAAATGTAGTCAATAAGTCATTAATTTAAAATGAGAAATAAGTCAAACAACTACAATCTTGAAATTAAAAGTGTAAGTACCCACTTCGAAGTATGAGTTAATGACTTAATTCGGATATAGTCATATAGGCTCATTATTTGATTACCAAGTAAAATGTAGTTTTAGGTTTTCATTTTTTTTTAGAATTTTATTAAGTAAATTTTGGGATTTTTTTTTTAAAGTTGATACGGGTATCCGTCAGGATACGAGTATTGGAAACTTTCAAAAAATTACAAAAAACATATGGAGACTTTTAAAAATTACAGATACGGCCCGGGAACGTACGGTACGGGTATCCTAGAGTATCGGATATGGGAACGTATCCGATACGCCGATACGCTACCCTAGGGAAGTATCCGTGCTTCATAGCTCTCCACCACACAATACCCACTATCTTAAACTCCGCGCCAAACCTATTTGGAAGATATAATAGGGATGGAGGGAGTATAATAAGTTAATAACTGCAAGATATGGTGAAGCTATAACTGCTCCACCCTCATCTTCATCCACTGAAGGAACAATGACCACACTTTCTACTATCCCAACCCTTAAGCAATACTTGAACAAGCAATTGTAGAAGTGGCTGTTCCAGAAACAACTATGATAAAAAGAGTAGGTTATTATTCCGCATCAATGTACACTATTGTCACGTCATCCGTAAGATAATGGCTAGACACGTGCAACAGCGCACAAGATTCTATTGTATGAGGATGATATGTTCTAAATTTAATGCCAAAGTTTTGTAATACGTTTTGAAGAATCAATAATTTAATATCAATGCATAGTTTCTTAACGAACGAAAAAAGAGAGGGGGAAGCGGAAGGAAGGAAGCGAATGGAGTAGTGGTCCACTGGCTTCCCCCTTCTGTTGTCAATGTAAAGAGTACTTGTGGTTTCCTGAATCGATTTGGCCGGAGTGTTTATCTCTTCTTAGAGTGGTCTCACATCATGACAGATAAAAAATCAAAGTTTTGTGAAAAAAACTAAGCATATAGAGCTGAACTTTCATCTCATATTTTCATCCTTGAGAATATAAGATTGATGCTTGAGAGTGTGTTGGCTTAAGCATTTGTGTTACATGCTTAACCTCTGTATGCACTATGTGTGTAACCTCTGGAATTGGTTTCATATATTCATCTGGGGTCCTGAGGAAATGTAACCTCTGCCACAGGGTGTTGAGGAAAAACCATTTGAGTGGACATATCCCAGATACAATTTTAAATATCTACAGCTCAAATAACTTATAGTCTATTTTGACTTATATTTCCTTTTTTGGTTAAGCATTGAGAGAAAACTCTGTTCTGATCTCCTTCATCATTCTATTTATGCCACACTTTTGGTCTTTATGTTTTTGCTTACAGGGATCTCTCTTCCAATGATCTGGTTGGAGGTGTTCCGCTGAAGCTGTTTTCAGTACCAATATACAAGTAATTCCAGTATTTTACTGCCTATTTCATGGTTGTCATCTAAATTCATCATTGAGACTCTCTTCACCCTTGGTTATCAAAAATATAATATTGGCATAGAAGAAAATGATCTTTTGGAGCTTTATAAATCTTGAGGAGTAGAATTGAATAAAAGACCTTGGTGCTTCCATATCCTACTAGATTTGTGGTCAAACTAAGTTACATAAATAAGCAAGACCCTGTCTTAATGCGTCCTTGAATTGGTACATTTCAGGATAGAGCAGTAGTTTGAGCTTGTGAGGAGTCATTTACCAAAAATTCTTCCTATCTTAGGTAACTGATAGCTAATTGAGATCTATATATTATTCTTATCATATCACACAAATCAAGGTAGTAAATGCTTATAAACATGATTTGCTGTCATCTGGTTTCCTGGCTTGGAGTAACATATGTTTCTTTTTCTAATGTGTTGCATTACCAGTTTTTCGAATACCCAACTTAGATGTGGCAAGGGTTCCCATCAACCTTGTGCCTCAAGCTCCTCTGTCCCAGGTTTGCTTCCACAAGTTCATTTATTTCCTTCGACTCGACATACTAAGAACGGAGACTTATTTGTTGACTGTGGTTTTTACAGCAGTTACCCCTGGAAAATCAAAGCTTGCGATTGTTATTATCGGTGCAAGCTGTGGTGCTTTCATTCTGCTGCTACTTGGGGCTATATTCATATGTCGATCCAATCTCTTTTGTAGGGTCGAAAGAGACATTTTTGTTGATGTGCAAGGTATATTTATGCCTTATCATTTTCTTCTTTGCTACTATTTAGAGAACTACAGTGTAGGCATTAAAATCCCAGTTGACCTGTGTGGCAAGCAATTTGGAAACAGCCTCATACTTGTCTTCTTAGGTGAAGATGAACGCAAATTCTCCTATGGTCAGATAAGAAGATTTTCCTGGCGTGAAATACAAATTGCAACTGAAGATTTCAAAGAGAGCAACATCATAGGGAAAGGGGGCTTTGGTAAAGTCTATAAAGGTCTTCTCTCAGACAAGACAAAAGTTGCTGTCAAACGACTCGAGAATTACCACAGTCCCGGGGGAGAGGCGGCATTTTTAAGAGAAATCCAGTTGATAAGTGTTGCAGTTCATCGAAATCTCCTACGCTTAATCGGTTTCTGCACAACCCCATCTGAGAGAGTTCTTGTTTATCCTTTCATGCAGAATCTGTCTGTTGCTTATCGTTTAAGAGGTATTATCATTTTTATTCATCTTGTTTATTTCTTACCCCTTCATTTCTATTTTCATGATATTTAACATGTGTTTTAGGATGTAAAGAAATGTCTTGATTTTTATTTGATAATTCTGGCAATCAAATGAATATGCATTCAAGTTATTTAGATATTTATGACCTATTCACTTGGACTTATTTCAGCCCTAGAACAGACCGAACTTAACATTAAAGACCAGAACTAAATAGATTAAGCCGGACTAGACTAGACTATACTTAATAACACAAAAACTAGACTTAATGATAGGTATCAAGCAATAATCCTGCGGAAAACAGTGAACAACAACGTAGATCTGGTAACGAGATGAAAGGGATGTTTATTGATAGGGGTAAACTTCAACTTAGGCAACAAGATATCGGGACACTCAGGCAACAAGGCAACAATCTTATAAAATGACAGTCTACCCATTATTAGCTACCCAACTTACTATTTATAGTAGTAGGTCCACAAAGGGACTAAAATAGATAAACAGACCCATTAAATGACCCCAGCCCACTTAATTCACCTCAGCCCATTTTATTTCTCCTTTCAAATACCCTATTAAAATACTAAGTAGGCAGATTCCTAACATTACTCCCCCCTAATTAACCACCTTGCCCTCAAGGTGGGTAATAAGACACAGCCTTTATCTTGAACTTCTTCTTCATCCTGGAACCTCTTCCTTTCCAGTACCTCCTTGGTTTCTGATCTCGGAGCTTCATTTCTTTTACTTTCATTATCACATCTTTCACAGCTAACAGGAGCAGAAATTGGGTATAAAAATTCCTTGGAATTACACTTGAAGCCTCTTCCTTGTAACTACTATCAGCACATAAAAGTTCTGCAAGCTCAAATCCAGCTACCCTTGTGGTAACTTCAGCTGCTACATCAAGGGAAACAACCGCAACTTGCTTACCCTTATTGACTACAAATTTGATCATCACCAAGAGGTCCCCAAGCAAGCTACCAACTTTGAAGTGTGTATCCTGTAGATCAATCTCCTGTTTGGGCTGCATCATAGGAGAATTATAGGAATATCTTGCCCGTTGAACCGCTCCAGAAAGACTGTGCAGTTCATCCAGCCACCTGCCATCAATTATGATACCCCCAACAATTTCTTGCTTTAAAAATGAATCCCTGGGATGCTCCCTGTTGGAGACATTAATCACCACAGCCTTAGTAGAAGAGTTCAGGTCCACTCTGATTCTACCCAACTCATCAGCCGCTCTCAGTTCAGCCTTAGAGGAGCCCCATATTGCAGATAGTATCGAACTGAAATCCTTAACTGTCGTCCCAGATTTGTCAATTGAGTGAATGCAGACTGATCCTTCAGTTGCACTCCTCTGTAAGTCATTCTTCCCCAATTGCCTTGTCAAAGCATCCCTAAATAATACAACTCCTCCAACCACCCTGGCTTGGTCCTGACTGACAACATCTACAATTCCCTCTTGAATAGATATACGAACAGCTGGCAGCTCCCTAACATCTTCACAAACTATAATGGCATCTATGGAAGGATCATAACTGAGATCATTCAGATGGCCTTGTTCTCCTTCCACTACTTTACCTTCCCAGAATACAATGTAACCATCCCCAACCCCCCTCAGAATCTGTGTCTTAGTTTGCTGAGATATTTCAATAGAGTTGAACTCAGGATGCCCTTGAATAGTCTGAATTGACCCAGACTGCTTCCACTTGATGCTAAGCTTCTGGAAATTGACCTCTACATCCCCTAAACTAGCCAGCCACTCCATTCCCAGGACCAAATCAGCTCCTCCCTGGTCAAGCATATAGAAGTTCTCTTGGATAATAGTCTCCTGCATATTCAAAACTAACCCCTCACATCTGCCCTTATTAGATATACTATCACCATTACCCATCTGTACTGTATAACCTGAAATAGTGTGGTAAGGTAGATTACAGTGCTCTACCAACTTCTGAGAAATGAAGTTGTGGGAAGCCCCACTATCAATCAACACCTCTACTTGTTTTTCTCCCTTGACCCATTTCAGAATCCCTTGTACTTTGAAGGCCTTCATGGAGGGTGTTTCCTTCTGGTTCATGAAGGATAATTGCATGGACTTAGACTCCATGGTGACCTTTTCATCTTCAAGGATTACCCCTTCTGAGTTATCTAATTCCTCTTCTCCCTCGGAATCTTCCACTAAAATCAGTTTTTAATTCTTCATTTTGCATGAGTGCTCTCTTCCCCATCTTTCACCGCATTTGAAACAAAGCCCCTTCCGGCTCCTATCTTGGTATTCTTCTTGTGTCAGCTGTGGCCCTACTCTTCGTATGTCTGCGGGATTTATTTCTGTTTCCTTCTTCCCATCAGGAGTAAACCAAGGTTGGTTTCCCTTGTGGTCTGCAAAGTTTCTTCCAGTATTATATGGCCCTGAACTGCTGGCCTTGGATCTGTACCCTTCTCCCCAGGCTGTTGCCTTATGATTCACAGCTCCCTTTTCCCTTCCAGTAGTTTTCTCTGCAACCTTTCCCTTCTCATAGAGAGCTTCATTTTTCTGCTCTATCAAAAGAGCCCTATCTATAGTGGCAGACAAGGATCTAGAGTTGCACAGTTTCAGCTCAGCCTTGACCTCATCCTTGAGACCGTTAATGAAGATGCCTCTCAATATGCCCCTGTCAATCTCCCTCTGAGGAGCCATCACCATTTCGAATTCCTCCCTGTAATCTGCCACAGTTCCTGTTTGTTTCAAGCTCAGCATTGGGCCATAGGGGTTCTGTATTAAGTCCGGTTGGAACCTGCGAATCAATGCATCCTTCAGGTTCTCCCAGGTTCTCTCTTCCGCCTGATGCTCCCACCATTGGAACCAATTCAGCGCTTTATCCTCCATTGCCACAACAGATACTTCCACCCTATCCTCTTCTTCAATATTGTTCAGTCTGTAATAACGCTCCATTCTCACGATCCAATTGTATGCACCCTCCCCATTAAACATAGGTAAATCCACCTTCCTCCCCGTTTGAACCCGACGCCTGTGGATGGGAGAATGTACGGAGTTACCTCTGGAGTGAGTGGGTGATCGCGAGCGACGATGGTGAGGGGATGGCGATCTCCCCCTGACATGGCCGCTTCTGTTCTGATGAGCCGCCACCGACGTCGCTATGCTTGTCTGAATCTGGTCATTGATTGTGGCCATGAAATTTGTCATTGTCGTCCTCATCTCCTGCATCTCCCGCTCAAAGGTGTCCATACGCTGCTCCTGAATCTCGTTTTTACCATCCACTTCGAAAACGAGAGCTAGGTTGCAGTCGCTACCTCACAACGATCCGATTCCCAGGAGCAAGTGCTCTGATACCAATGATAGGTATCAAGCAATAATCCTGCGGAAAACAGTGAACAACAACGTAGATCTGGTAACGAGATGAAAGGGATGTTTATTGATAGGGGTAAACTTCAACTTAGGCAACAAGATATCGGGACACTCAGGCAACAAGGCAACAATCTTATAAAATGACAGTCTACCCATTATTAGCTACCCAACTTACTATTTATAGTAGTAGGTCCACAAAGGGACTAAAATAGATAAACAGACCCATTAAATGACCCCAGCCCACTTAATTCACCTCAGCCCATTTTATTTCTCCTTTCAAATACCCTATTAAAATACTAAGTAGGCAGATTCCTAACACTTAATAATACATAAGTACACACAGTAAATCACTTTAACACACCATATCAATCCGGACCAGATCAGTAGATTTTTTTCACACCATATCAGTTACCCATTTGGGGAAACATCACTTTCTCTTTTATCAAACTATTTCTTTGGATATCTGGAAGAGCAGTAATGCCAGCTTCTATTTGAATGCAATGTCATTCTTTTGAAATCGATTTTAGCAAAAGTAGGATTCTCTCCAGTAATTTGTTTCTCTATTGTTTGCTGAGAGTAGAACTGAGACCAGGAGAGGAAGGCCTGGAGTGGCCAGCAAGAAAACACATAGCTTTTGGAGCAGCGCGTGGACTAGAGTACCTACACGAACATTGCATCCCAAAGATCATACATAGAGATCTAAAGGCAGCAAATATCCTCCTAGATGATAATTTTGAGCCTGTACTCGGAGATTTTGGGTTAGCAAAACTTGTTGATACAAAATTGACACATGTGACTACTCAAGTCCGCGGAACAATGGGACACATTGCCCCGGAGTACTTGACTACCGGAAAATCATCAGAGAAAACAGATGTTTTTGGATATGGCATCACACTTCTAGAGCTTGTAACAGGAAAACGTGCTATTGATTTTTCTCGCCTGGAAGACGAGGAAGACGTTCTACTATTGGATCATGTAAGTTTTGTTCCCCTTTCTCAAGAATGTGTATTCTTCCATTTTAGGGCTGTTTGGGTTAGCAATGTGAAAACATGCTAGTGGTTTCATATTTCTACATTTCCAAAACATCATTATTATTCTTATAATTTAAAAACAATGTGGTTTCAAACCTGTGCTTTTATTGATTGCTTGTAGGTTGCTGTTTGGTACAAATGTATTTTGATGTGCTTTAAAACTTTATGGATGTCTTTGATGCTAAATGGTTGACTTGGGTTTTGAACCGAATTTGCTTAGCTGAAGACCCCTTTGTGATCTGCCTTTGTTTTGTTCTTGGCATTGAGGAGGTGTTTGATATATAAAAATCTGTGTGTGTGTGTGTGTATATATATAGATAGAGAGAGAGAGAGAGAGAGAGAGAGAGAGGTGGGTTCAAGTAAAAAGTAGTTCTCCCATGAAAAGTGAGAACAAATCTTAGCCTTTAATCACTTGTAAATGGATGGACTAGATGAACTTTAATCACCAGATACACACTCAAATAATGTGCAAACGTTTATGGTACAAAGTGGATATTAAATGAATAAAAGTGCACTCATAAGAGTTAAAAAAGATTGCCAATTTTTTTTTTAAATGTGTGCACATTTTATGATGTACTGTTATGCACTTTTCGTGTATATATAACAAAAAGTGCATATTTAAAATTTTGCTAAATATTTTAAGCTTATGTTACACTGTTAGACTTATTTTTTTGGTGTTTTAACTCTAGAGCGAGTTTATTTTGGATATTTATTGTCATTATATATGTGATTATGTTTTAATTTAATGCTCTTTTGATGTTATTTTAAAATATTCTAGACGTGATTTTGACCTGTTTAAAATAAAGAAAATAAAATTAGAAAGTCATATTTATAATACTCCCTCTGTCCCATAATTAAGTTCACAGTTTGGTTTTCTGAGTCAAACTTTGTTAACTTTGACCGTTAATTATTCAAAAATCGTATTATTTTATAATACCAAATTAATTTTGAATACTTCATTTTGATATATATTATTTAAATGTTAGATTATTACTACGTATATGTTTTATAAGTGTATATATCCATAGGTCCGGAGGTAGTATATTTCAAGAAAGTTTGAAATCATTCTTGAAAATTTTTACATGAATGAATATAGGTCGATAATCAAAGAGTGGAAAAAAGCTTAAAAACTTGCTAGTCAAATACACTTATTTTGAAATAATACTGGTATATTTCAAATGTAACTTTGTGATCATTCTACTAAACAAAAAAAGAAAATAGTTTTTCTCAAAGCATATCTTGAGTAAGGTTGGAATTATTTTGAAAATTTATACTCCCTCTGTCCCAAAATGAGAGTCCCATACTTTTTGGGCTCAAAGATTAAAGTGGTTGAAAAGGTAATAAGATTTGAGTAGAAAAAGGTGAAATGATTTGGACCACATATTTCTTTCCAAAAAGGGAAACATGACCATCATTTTGGGACAGCCCGAAAAGGAAATACGGGACTCTCATTTTGGGACGGAGGGAGTACATGAATTGATACAGGTCAGTGTTTAAAGAAGGGGAAAATGACAACGATGTTTGTTTTGAAAAAACTAAAAGATAAGCACAAAGTTGGGACTTCGGATTGAGACCTCAGTGAGAAGTAATAGCGTAAAAGATCTAAAGAAGCACAAAGCCACACTAGCTGAAGGTATATACATTCTCAAATGTGTGGAACCTTTATTTAAATGATAAACAAACACTAATGCAAAAATAAATCATACTTAAAGCACCTAAGAAAGAATCAAACCCTGGAAAACAAGTTTCATAACAATGCATCACTCATCTCAAGTAAGAGATCCATTTGGTTTGAATCTTGTAGACGCCTATATGCTATATTTTTACCTGAGAGTATACACTAGCAAAACCGGAGAATGGGGACGCCGGCACCTGCTCCCCCTAGATCCACCAGTGTTGATGATGGCCTATATGATGTGCACCAGCCGAGCAATGATCTAGTCCTAAAATAATGTCTAAAGTTAGAAACGATGATAATGTGAGATGTCAGATGATTTTACTCCAATAGTTGATTACTTTTCCAAAGCATTTGTATGTTTTAAACCATAGAATAAATCGGGTTCAATTTCTAGTCAGGCCTGTCCATGCGCAAGTCTTGTTTCTGTCATTTATCATATGTGCCTCCAAGTCTTGATTGCACATCTGTTTCTGGTTTAGTGATTTCCCACGTGTTTGTAAATCCTTCAGGTCAAAAACTTATTGAGAGAGAAAAGGCTAAATGACATTATGGACCCAAACCTGAAAAACTATGATGTAAAAGAAGTAGAGATCATCCTTCAAGTTGCTATGCTATGCACCCAAACATCGCCTGAAGATCGTCCGAGAATGACTGAAGTCATAAGCATGCTTCAGGGTGTGGGGCTGACTACGAGATGGGCAGAGTGGGAGCAGCTCGACGAAGTAAGGAATCATGAGTTTACCAATGTTGGCCACAAATTTTTGTGGGGTGAAGATTCTACATATGATCAAGAAGCTGTACAGTTGTCTGAACCCAGGTAAGGAGCCGAAAGAATGAAGTTAAATCAATGATGTCTGTTTGTAGATTTTACATCATTGTAGCATAACTTCTTACGCAACATAATGTGTAACATAGTATTTTCTTTCTTATATATTGTTATTATTATTTCAGTTGAGTCCTCTCGCCTATTCACTTATGCATCCTTCATTCTGTCCTATGGCAAACTGATACCTCAAACTCCTGACATGGAAATCCGTAGTCTTCTTCATGGAGATAAGCCCTTGAATTTTTGCACGTGCCCACTTCATGAGCAATCTCATTCATGTTTTCATCAAGATACAAAGTAGGGTTTGCGATAGCTTCTACTTTAAAAAAGTGATTTTTTACTTTAAAAAAGTGATTTTTTGAAGTGATTTTTGAGAAAGTAGTAAAAGTTTGTAGTGTTTGAGAAAAGTGTTTTTGAAAAAGTAAAAATGGTAGTGTTTGATAAAATAAGTGATTTTTGTGTAACAGTAAAAGTGAAAAGAACTTTAAATCACCTCTCAAACACTTATTTCAGCCTTTTAAAGAAAACTGACCCGCCAATTTCCAATTCTATGAAAACACTTCTGTGTAACCATAATTGATAATTGGTACCTAGTTGGGTTTATCAAAACTTTAGGCTCTCCATTTTATTATGCTCAAATGCTCAATATAAATACAGAATTTAAACAAATAAACTACTCACTACTTAAGCACACAATAAAAATATAGTTTGAATGATCCAAAATTGAGACCTTTGAACTCTAATCCTTGAACTACGTCAATGTCATCAAGTATTGCTTCTTTTGAGCGGATTTGTTTTATCACCTCTGTTAATTCCCACACCGGAAACATGTGAACGAATTAAGTGCTATATTAAGATCTGGATTACTCCTATCAGGTTGACCTTTTAGGATGGAACCCCGACTCTTAACATCTTTTCTGATTACAAGAGATCAATATAGTCATCCAAACTTAATTAATTTGGTCATGTATAATATCTTTGAGTTTGTTAGTCATCCATAATGATAATTCTTTAATGTAGTCTTTAATTGTTTTTCCTTAATGTATAACTGTATAAGAAGCACTTTTAACGTTTTTGTTTCAATTTAGATGTTGGGACTATGTTTCCATCTTTCTCATATTCAAGACCATGCTTGCGATTTTTCAGGAATTCTGATTCCGATTAAAGCAATAAGAACGGTTTTAAAACAGGCTAAGACTGATGTTTTAACACTTCTATTTGAATGAGAGCCTTCTGATGCAAGTTGAGTCTTCAAACAATCAAACCCCCACTCAACTTGTGATATCCTTTCTTCAAACCATATTTCTATCTTGAATAAGGCTAAGGTCATAGTTATTCCCCATTCCATGTTCTTCTCTGAGAGTGTTGAACCTGCTTTCACTTAGAGCCTTTGCGAATATATCAATCAAATGATTTTTAGTTGGAATATATCAAATGGTTTGATAGTATTCAATTGCACGTACTCTAATGAAATGAGGCTAAGGGGCTGTTTACTTGGGACTTAATGGACTTAATACATATGGTGACTTAATTATTCAGTTATAAAGTTGTGTTTACTTACAACTTTACAAAGAAGATGACTTATTCGCTCAGACAAATTATCACTTATTTGTTCAGCGCAAAAAGTATACTCGTTCCGCTTCAGACGTGCGAACAAACATTTTTCTCTCTTTTAGCCTTTAGAACAAGACTTCCGCCCTCTGAACTAGTCTCTCCCTTCACATACGCAGCAGAGCAGCGGACGGCCGTTTTCTTAGGATTTTGGAAGCCGATCGACGGATAAGATAACGATGCATCTTATTTTTTCCCTTAATTGAATATTTCTTTGGATCGATGCATCTTATTTATTCCCCTGCTAAATGCTCTCTTATCCGTCAAAATTTGGCATGAATTACTTTTTTTTCAGTGGCATGGATTATTTGTAAATCGCTATTGGTGCGAAAAATAAAATGCATTTGTGCTATGAGATTATTAATGTCGGTTTGATGGAACATTATGGTTCTTTTTTATTCATTAAGGTGAAGTTTATTCAATTTAGATTCATGCAGCTCTTCTCTTCAAATTTTAGATTATTGGTCATTGAATTGAATTTCTGTAACATGTGGACTGCTTCTTTTGTTGATGAGGGGAATGAAAAAATTAATACGGAGTATGTATGAAAGTTACATTGATACAAAATTACAAAGTACGATAGTATATGATACAGAGTATATAATATTATAATTAATTTTTGGGATTTTGATATACAATTTGATTTATTATTAGGAAATAAGTTCTTGGTTGTTATTTAAAAAAAATCTTGGTTGTTACTGATATACAAGGTTAGTTCTTTTTTAAGTAATCTAGAAAATAAGACAGAAGTAGTGCCCGATCTTGATATACCATTCAGTGCTTGTAATAGACAGGAGGGTTATTTGGTCATTTAACATTATTCAGACTTCTCATTCAGCACACATAGTAAACAGTTTAATATCATAGTGTCACTTAATCCAGACAGACGTCTTAATTCAGACAGACGTCATAATCCATTGAGGACTTAATGAAAAAAAAAGTAAAGAGCCCCTAACTTTGAATATGCTTTCTTATTGAATGCTGGTCGTCACACGCCTGTACTTGTCTATTGTAGCGCCTCCTCTTTTTATTCAGATTTGGGATAGACATGAAATAAAAAACTTGACGTATTAAGTTGATGCATATCAATTACAATATTATCACTATACTACTACCTTTCCCCCTTAAGAATAGGACAAGAGGAGTTGGTGCAATTATTAAGAAAAGTATGATAATGTGGTTGATATTAAATTGGTAAAGTGCGAATAAACTTAATCAAATAAACAAAAAAGGAAAAATGGGACAAGGATACATTGGGAAAGTTCTCAAAAGTTGAGTAAAAACAATGGTGTGGTTTAATGCACCAAATCCTCTCGTGAAATATAAATTCGGCGCATTAGCCCCATGTAATTTAAAAAATGCGACAAACCCCCTCCAAGAACAAATTTTACAATTTTGAAATCACATTTTTTAATAATATGGTTGAATATGCAAGTAACTTTGTCAAAATTTCTAAATTATACCAAAAAACTAATCATTTTTCATGTTTTTGGAAATTAAATTTGTTCTTGGAGGGGGTTTGGGGAATGATTAATTATAACACATGGGGGTTTCACGCATTTTTTAAATCACAGAAGCTAATGCACCGAATTTATATTTCACGAGGGGGTTTGGTGCATTAAATCCAAAAACAATGTAAGATTCTAATAGGAATACTATATTTCTCCCCAAAATAGGAGTAGCTTAGGCTACTGTCATCCTGAAATTTACAACCATATTTTGACATATATTTGGGGAATCAAAACATTGAAGTATATTTCCATATAGCTCAAGGGTTAAGGCTCTGTTTGCAAGTGATTGTGCTTAAATAAAAGCACTTTTTGGTAAAAAGTGATTAATAGTAAAAGTTGATAGTGTTTGGTAAAATAAGTGCTTTTTGTGTAATAGAAAAAGTAAAAAGTAGATTCTACACGAAAACCGAGAAAGTAAAAGTTGTTATTGTTTGGTAAAATAAGTGCTCTTTTCTTAAAAAAAAGCCAAAAGCACTTAAATTAATTGTTTGCAAACAAAGCCTAAAAGAACGTATGAACAAGCTTTCATGGTACTCAAGCCCGTGAGTAATAGCTTCACACCCTTCTCATAATTGATGGGTAGTTCTAAATGCAGCCACACAATTGCTATTCACAGCCTCTAATTAAAATTAATACCTACTCTAGCGTATACCATACAGCCGGTGGCATTTTTGTAAATTTGATGAAGTCCGTGGTTTCTCTTAAATGAGAATCGGTGTAATTTTGATGATCATTAAGTTGGTTCTTCTGAGTATTAGAAGCCTAATAACGAGCACAGTGATCTCTGCTTCATATATTCTAATTCAGTTTCTTTTTATTAATTTTTCGTTTATAAAAAATTCTTAAATTATGTTTATAATTAATTTCAATATGTGAATCTAATGGAGTATAATATGTTTAACACGTGCAACTTTGTAAAATGAACATAAAACAATACCAAATGAGCATACATAACTTACCACCTGAGTATCAAAATATTAAAAAGCTTATTTGTGTGTGCTCATTCGTTTTGGGTGTTATAATCATTTGAGTTTAACATAAAACTCTTTTTGAAATATGCATGAATGTAACATTTTAAAATGAGCATGAAACAGTACAAAATGAGCATACATAATTACAAAATGAGTATCAAAATATTAAAAACTCATTTGTGTGTGTTCATTATTTTTGGGCTTTATACTCATTTGAGTTTAACATAAAACTCATTTCGAAACATACATGAATATGACATTTTAAAATGAGTATTGCACTAATATCAAATGCGTATACATAAATGATGAAATGAGCATTCATAAAACTCATTTAAAATGTCTAATGTGCTCATAATTTCATTTGTTATGCTCACATCTGAAGAATTACATATAACTTAGATTTCTCTGACATGCTATCAACAAGTGACCAAACTCACTCATCAAACTTGGGAAAGAAAAAGAGAAAAAAGAAGAGTCCAGAGCAGGAAAGAGGGAGAAGAAGGAATTAGGTCTATACACCAAGAGGAGTCGCCACAAGAGCCGCCGCTCAAGCCGGTGTTGCGCTTGTGCTAAAGGTTGCGACTGTCGAGAATCATCATCTGTGTAGGTGAGAGCAAAGAACGAGAACGATCTGCAGAGGAAGTCCAGCGCCCTGCAATCTACGAAGCCTGCCCTGCAATTTCCGATCTAAAAGTCCGGCTGTACCGTGCGCACGGTATAGCCGGCTGTACCATGTAATTTACGACTCTATCCTCACCCCAATTGCTATTCACGCCAACCTCACGCTCCTAGACAATACTTGGCCACCAGAGAAAGAAGTAAAGAACCAGTGGTGTACTTCGAATAATATTCCACAGACCAACGACTTCACCACATAGGGGATTCTAAGACAACTCAATCTGCCTCCATGGATGAAGGAACAATCTGGTTGGGGCCTTTGCATCTTCCTTCCAGGAGGAAACCAGCTGCTTGCATCCTTGACTCAAATTCACTAGCCTCCTTAACGAACAAACCAAATCTTCCATCGCCGTCAGGCAAGATACCGATTCCGGCAACCGCCCACCCTTGTAACTCACATCCAGAACCTGCAAATCCGTCCACAGCCCAACCCCTTCTATACCATTTTAGTGAAGTAATTCCACTCTAAACCGATCAACAATTCAATTTGCCAAATTCATATCTCAATAGATGAAAAATCCAATTTAGCTCTCATCACCATACCTCCGACCTGTTTTTTGTCAATGAACAGTCAAAAGGTTATATCTGGTTCTTCAGAGTCGAGCAGCCAAGCTGCGGCAGTTAGACTATCAAAGTGAAGAGAAAATGAAAGAGTTTCACCAAGGGTTAATTTGTAAATTTAGTATAAAAGGGCTGTGGTTAGTAAAAAACACGGCTGTATTTAGAATCTCCCTAATTGATTGACAAAGGCAACCCTGATTGCTCAAGCCCAAGCCCAAGCCCAAGTCCATGCCAATGCCCAAGGCAGAGGCCAAGCCCAATAAGGTGGTCCTCAGATAAGCAAATGGGCCCTGAATCAAGCAAGGGAGAGCCGATCTTAGTATATGGCATAGATGCTCACACTTAATGTTGATGCACGAATATTCGAGGCAGATTAGGGATAACATCATCAGAGAAAGTTCATAACTAACTCTAGGACTGACATGAACAAATCTGTACTAACAAGCTAGCTATCATGTTGTAGACGTGTGACCACCTTGATGTTCAGTTACAACAAGATGGCCCATTCTTACTCACACAATCAAATGAATCAATCAGCAATAAGTTCTCTTACCAATTAAGTACTCCGTATTCTACAAGTAATTCTAGACACGTGGCTATTGCTCCAATTAGATAAACTATTTTTACTTGTTTTCCAATATCAGAATCTTCTCAATTCAAGGCCACCCTCCAACTTGTGGAGGGGATCCGAAACAATATGGTGCACAACTACTCACACTCTCTTCATTTTTAATACATTAACTCTTTCTCTCCTTAACTCTCCCTACCCTGATCATAAGACCATCAAACATAAAACTTATATTTTGGAATTTAGAATTATTTTATTCATATTTTGGGCATTTTCCTTACATTTTATTTTGGGTGGTGCTTAGGGGTTGCAAAAATCCGACTCCGTTGCTCTATTCTGAAATCCTTCCGGTACTGTCTCGTTCTGTTTAGGGCTCGACCTTTTTGTTTCGTACCAATTTTAAGCAGGATTACATGACCGGGACATCATAAGATTGCCCCACTCCGTCCCGTTGTCTTGTTTGTAAGATTATAGAATTTTTAGCATTTGACTATTTTGTAGTGTAAGTTCAAAAAATAAGTAATAGTACACTTTGAGTTTTTCAAACCCAAATTCTTACTCACTCATATAGGAGTTTCTCATACCAGGTTACATTATTTCATTGCTTGCCTGCTTTTAAATTGTAATTTGATATTTTGTTACATTGGTTCATTTTTTTTCTAAATTTAATTACGTTTTGACAGCTTTTTAGCTTTTCAATAGATAACTGATTATCAACATTTAATCCATTTAAAAATGTTAATTTTTTGGTGCATATATACCATAGGAATGAATATTTTTTGTTTAATTAGTTTTTACTGTTAAATTTTTGGTGCATGCATGACGTGTTTAATGATTGAGATTTCGATTTATTAAATGAAATAAGATTTGGACAAAGATTTGCTCCATACCATTTCATATGATTTTGAGTGGAGCTAGGTGTACACAAAAGTTGTACACTTTTTGTCTGTCCCGCAATCCAAGTTGTCACAACAACTCGGACTGCGGGGACAAGACTACACAAAAAGGTACAACTTTTGTGTAAGCTACACATTTTTCAATGGTTTTTACTAATCTAGTATGGGAATTGAATAACTCTAATCCGAAGGTCTCGAACCTTGCCCACCTCTGGTAAGGTCCCTGGGAATTGCACTTCCAGTTCTGATATATGAGAGGTTCATTTTAACCGTTCACATCAAAGTGTCATTGGTAGGAAGCAGATGCTTACACATCTTTAATTGTTCCATACCCTCCTCTTTGTCATTAAATGATTTTGTCATTTTATTTGCTCATTGATGGTTCTGGGGCTACTTTGAAGTACAATGTTCATTACTTAATTAACCTGCTTATATGCTTCCTTGTTTGCCTGGGGAATTTTGATTTTTAGCACACTTGAAAGTTTTCTTGGCCATGGCTGGACTGGAAGATTTAAAAAGGAAGCTTGCACCATTGTTTGATTCTGAAAAAGGGTTCCCATCTTCCTCAACATTGGACCCATCAGACTCGTACGTGGTAAGTGAATCTCTGTACGCTAACCTTGTTTCTGAAATTGGCTATTTCACAGACACGAATTACTCTATTTTCCTACACAGCTTTCTGATGGCGGTACGGTGAATTTGTTGAGTCGATCGTATGGTGTGTACAACTTTAACGAGCTCGGACTGCAAAAGTGTCATTCATGGCCGGTTGAAGATCCTGATCTCGGTGAAAAGACATATAGGTGTGCTTCACATGAGATGAGGGTTTTTGGAGCCATAGGAAGTGGTGCAAGCAGTGTTGTGCAGAGAGCTATTCATATCCCCACTCACAGAGTTATTGCCTTGAAGAAGATTAATATCTTTGAGAAGGTTAAACTGTTTCTTTGTAATTTTTTGCTGGTGTTGGAATCTGGCCTCACATTCTTTTTGTCATATCTGATTATATTTGGAACTTTTTTTCCTAATGAATTGTAACTGGGAGCAATGGAAGTTTTAAACATTTGCCATTCTCAACCATTTCATGAATTTGTACAAGAGATACTCCTTTCACTGAGATATCTATATTCAACATCTAAACTATGCTTCTAGTCATGCATAATAATAGTTGGGGGAAATTCCCGAAATAGGAGCAAAAACAATGTAAAGTTCCAAAATAGGATTAACTTACTGTCATCCTGATAAATTACTGCCACATTTTATACTTCCATAACTGACGGTATTTTCCAAGCATTTCAATATTTTCCAAGCATGATAGTAATTACTCCTATTTAAGGAATAAAATGATAGTGCTTCTATTTTGGAATTCCAAAACATTTTTACTCCTATGCACTAATTAATAAGCTTAAAGTCCAGGAGCAAGTAAGTAATTAGTTCATCAAATGGTATCATGCATGATGCATCATCACATATAACAAATGGAAATTATGCCTTATGCATCATCGATCTCAAGTAGTTGACCACTTTTGCACATTAGGAGAAAAGGCAACAACTTCTTACTGAAATAAGCACTTTGTGTGAAGCACCTTGTTGTCAAGGCCTTGTTGAATTCTATGGAGCATTTTATACTCCAGACTCCGGGCAAATAAACATAGCTTTAGAATACATGGATGGTGGGTCCTTAGCTGATGTCATAAGAATGCGTAAACGCATACCAGAGACAATACTTTCTTCCATGGTTCAGAAGCTTTTACATGTAAGTCTTTATCTTCATACTTCACCTTTGTTTTTTCCCTTTTACTGTATATGCTATGGCTTCTATGCATATACGCTATGCTTATTTCTGTTTCATTATCGTTAGGGACTTCATTATTTGCATGGAGTTCGCCATTTGGTTCACAGAGATATAAAGCCAGCAAATTTGCTTGTCAATCTCAAGGGGGAGCCAAAGATAACTGACTTTGGTGTAAGTGCTGGATTAGAGAACTCCATGGCAATGGTTAGTGAATTGATACTTCATAGACCTCCACCTAAATCTCCCTTCACTCTCCATCAATTTCAAATAATTTAATATCTTCGGAGATGAATGGACTTGTCCCATTGTCTTTTTCTCACTACTGAACTTTTTTCAACAGTGTGCCACCTTTGTTGGGACAGTGACGTACATGTCACCTGAAAGAATTCGAAATGAAAATTATTCTTATCCAGCTGACATATGGAGCCTTGGAATTGCACTTTTTGAATGTGGCACCGGTGAATTCCCATATAAGGCTAATGAAGGACCTGTCAATCTCATGTTGCAGGTTGTACTTTAGCTTTATATTGCACTCTTGTAGCCGTTTTTTGGCCTAGGGAAGAAAAAAGAACAGAGAGATGGGTGGGAAGGAGATGAAGAAGACAGAAATGTTGGAGAAATTGGGTAGGTTTTGTGTACTGTTATGTAAGAAAGAAATAAGTGCGTAATAGAAAGAAGTGTATGTTGTTGACAGAAAGACAAAATACCCTTAACATTCTCTATTGAATGTTAAAAAGGAATGGGTGTTAAAAGAAGATGGCACAACATTTCTGTTACAGTCCAATTCAATGTAGCAGTGAAAAAATAACCGAGTAAACTGATTAAACAGTAAACCGAAGAGTGAACCTAGAGATAAATTCGGTTTTCGGCTAATAATTTTTGAAAAATTCAGGTAGTCAGTGAATACTTAGTTTCACACTCAGGGTTTCAGTCAGTGACCGAATAACCGAGACTTCAAGCTCCCTATAATAATAAATAAAATCCACGGAGGCCTGATCATAGTAAAGTCAGCTTTACTCTGTCTACATTTCTCCTTACAATCCCAAAACCAATCAATCATTCCCTCACCTTTACACCAATATTACCCTTTGTCGCTCAACTCTTCCAGAAGACTAGAACCAGTCGACCAACACATATGCTCATGTCTACTACAATTCAATGAGTCTGCGGTAATAAATCTCGATCTGCTTCAAGCTAGTTTGCTAACAGCCAATTTGATAGTCCTTACAATTTTCATTTTTTCATAAGATTTGTTTGCAAATCTGCTTTTCTGTCCAAATCTGGTTAGGTTTTAGTGTATGTTTTTTTTTTTAATTTCTATTTTGATTTGTTTATCAAGTGACATTAGAATACATTATTCTCGATCTTTGCAAATTAGTTTGTTTTTTAATAATTAACCAAACTTTCTATACATCCAGTTAATATTTTCTCTTCATCTTTATACTCTCAGTTAATATTTTCTGGTAATTTTGCATTAAAAAATTATGTATAAGAAGTTTGGAGTTGGAAAGCATGGATTGAAAGTTCGGCTATTCACAAACACTATAGTTTTCGGCCGGTTACATTTGATTATTTGGTGTTCAGTAAGTTATGTAATTGATCAACTGAGTGCTCACCTCTAAGGCCCTAATACTATTGCCAAACATATGAGTATTGATGTTGGTTAAAAATCTGAAGTGAAAGGACAACTGGGATGAACACAAAAAGTTGTTGATGGTGGGCAAAGCCCACATGACTGTGTTGCTTCCAGAGCAAGCAGTCAAGTTATTATTAGCAAAATTTCTCAAAATAGGAATAAAATATGGCTGTTTTCCTAAACAGAAGTGCTATATTTTTTCTTCAAATAGGTAACGTCATACTGAAATCATATTGTCATATTATGGGATTATCAGACACTTAAAAAGATGGAAGTATGATCTTAGTATGAATTATAGTATGGTTTCAGGATGGCAAGACTTGCTCCTATTTAGAGAAAAACATGGTACTCCTACTTAGGGAAACCGCCTCGTGTTTACTCTTATTTAGATCAATTTCTTTTGTTATTATTCTCTTGTTTGTTATTTCTGAGCTCTTGTTTAGTTTGTCTTCCTTTAATCTAGTTGTATTAATATTACATTTCTATCTTGGTTTTCAGTTTAAGACTCTGTAATACCTACATAAGGGGTTCTTATTTTCAATAAACTGCTTATCAGAAATTAATTTTGTGTCTTGATTTATTCAATATTAAGTTTAGCTAAATATTCTCCTTTGTTCATAACAAGAACTGAATCCTCAAGATTGGTTCGGGAATCCTGACCGTTCTTCATTTCTCTCTTTATCAAGTTCTCAGCCTTGGACGAATCATTCACACGAGCCCTTAACATTTTGTCTCCTATTCTTCTCAATTCTTCGCAAAATGGGACAAAAGCTTATTCTTATCTTTTCTCACACAGAGTCACCCGTTCTATCTTATGATATCACCATTAGTTTACTTTCAAATATGGCTTAGTCTCTTAAACTACTGATACTTTTAAAGTTTTACTTCGGACAATTGCCCCATATTTTTTATAGTTCTTTCATTTCTAGTAGTTGACTTCTTTTTTAAATTCCAAACTGTCAAGTTTTAATTTTGCGTAGTTGTATTTCCCGTGTGTTTACAGATCCTCGATGATCCTTCTCCATCACTATCGAGCCATGAATTTTCACCTGAATTTTGCTCATTTGTTGATTCTTGCCTCCAAAAAAATCCAGATGCCAGGCCGACTGCAGAGGAGGTAAGAACTAAGAAGTTACATGCCATGTGAAATTGATATATCTGTAGCTGAATGTTTTCCTATTATGGGTAATTGTGTACTCTTCATCTACTGTTTTCTATATTGGCTTCTACACATGTATCTGTAGCTTAGCGTGATACACTTCATCTACTAGTTTTTATAATAAGAAATATACTTCAAAAATATCTTTCTAGGTCAGTTTCTTCATTTCTGCTTCCACGGCCGTCGACCAGTGTCAAAGTTCAAGTCGACCAGTGTCAAAGTTCAAAACAGTACCCAGCAAAGTACTCATCCAATCTTCAAAACTATATTTCTGAGTCATTTCTTCATTGCTTCTTCAATGACCCAGTATCATGGCTAAATAAACTACCCACTAAAGTAGAAAATCTTTGACAAATGACGATTACCAGATACTTTGCTTCTTTGACTAAGCTCGCTACTAACTGTTCTTTGGTAGCCCACCATCCTGCATTGGCAACACTGATCCCAACAAAGGTCGAGAACTGATTATTTCCCCCTTTAGATTTATTTCGTTGTTTCAGTTGCTTCTTTGTTCTCTCGATCTCGACCTTAGACAAGATCGTATACACTTACTCTTTAGGCATTCTATATTCTTACCCTTTGCTTTCATCTAGAAACATTTTGTATACAGAAAGATTTTGTTTATTTATTGCGTAGTATGTAAATTCCTGAATCCGTCTTTTACTTGCCTAACCAAACTCTGTCAAGGGAGATTAAGTTATGGGCATTCTTGTGTGAGCTTGTTTCAAATCTTGAAAAGCTAGAATTAATCGGTCCCGACCTTGTCAAGACACACAAGAAGTAGTTTATTGATTAATATGGGTGATCCTTTATTCCTTATATAGCTCTCGCAAGAGTCCTAATGACCATATGAACTATAAATTTAGGCTAATAAGAAATTGACTTACACTGAATAAGTTATCTGCAATGCTTAGCAAACTACTACTAACTATTACTACCTTCGTCCCCATAATGTAAGATACATGTGAGTTTGGTGCGAGTTTTAAGAAAATAAAAGATAAAGTGGTTGTTTTATTATTCTAAGCTCCAAAAAGTAAGAAAGAGTAAGATGGGAGCCTTTGCGGCAATGGGGTAATGATGATGTTGATGTTCATATTTTTGGGACAAGTCGGACAACCCAAAAAGGAAAGTATATTGTTAGAGTCCTCCAAGATTACAGCAATTACAGGAATTATTATCAAGAAACAAACTGAAATTCTTTATTGAAGAAGATGAACAGTACAGCGACCTAGGCAGAAGCCTCCCAAAAGAGAAGAGATCGTCAGTCTCTAATCTTCCCAGTTCCCAGACCAAAGTCCCAAAAGCCTCCTAACTATCCCTCCTTCCTTCTATTTATACTAGACATACATTTTATTATTATTATTATACTCTATTGGGCCGGGCCCCTAACAACTGGGCCGGGTCCCTAACAAATCTCCCCCCCTAAACATCCACCTTGCCCTCAAGGTGGGAGGTAGGAGACAGCCACGATCTTCTGCTTTTCCTTCTTCCTTGCTCCTCTTCCTTCCCGGTACATTACTGCTTGCTGAGCCAGAAGCTTTGGTATTTGTTCCTTTGAAATCATTGCAATTGCATTTGTTGCCACAGCCTCCCAGCACTCATTAACTGCAATTGTTTCCTTGTTTTCATGAAACTCCTCCAGGATTCTCACTTCTGAAGATATCAATGTACTGGATGCATTTTTGATGTTGCTAAAGTTATTCAACTCATAAACTGCAACAAACCCTATGTGAATTTCTCCGTTTACCATCCACTCTGTAAGACAGTTGGTGTCAGTGATAGAATCATTTGTAGTGGCAGGATTTGTCTGATAGGAATAAATAAGGATTGGGCCTATTCATTAAATAATTAATGGGCCTATTCCTTACCGAGTATAATAGAAAGGATAAGAAGTCTATTATTAGTTAATAGTTCCTTTTATCCCTGCGTGGATATGGACTATAAATAGAAGGGGAGCAACTAAAATAGGTAGGCTGTTATTGAATTGGCATTTAGGCTTGGAGAGTGGGCTTCTCGAACAGTCCCGTTGCTTGTACCCTACGTTGATCGTTTCCTTCAATAAACACTACTATTACTCCATTTCTCTGCAGATCTTCTCTATATTGTTACTGCTCTTGCTTGATTATTGTCAGTAATCTATCACTGGTATCAGAGCGTAAGCTCCTGGGGATCGGAACAGAACTGCGGCGTCCACAGAAGCTCACACGTACTTGGTGGATGGTAAAAACTAGAGCCAAGATGGAACATCGTATGGAGGCCTTTGAGCAGGAGATGAGAACTACCATCGCGAATCTCACTGTCACGATGAATGAGCAGATCCAGAACAGCATATCGGCATCCATGGCAGCTTATCAGAACAGGAGGGAGCCCTCCAGAGGGAGATCGCGGACACCACATCATCGTCGATCGCGATCACCGCATCACTGTCGATCGCGAACGCCACACAGCCCTTCACACTCGAGAGGTAACTCAGTTCACTCGCACCATCATAATCATCCGAGAAGTAATGAGAATAACAGGCTCCCCCTCCATACGGGTAGAAAAATAGATCTACCTTTGTTTAACGGAGATGGAGCCTATAACTGGATTGTAAGGATGGAGAGGTACTTCCGGCTGAACCTAATTGAGGAAGGTGACAAAGTAGAAGCATCTGTTGTCGCTATGGAAGAACGGGCCCTCAACTGGTTCCAGTGGTGGGAGACCCAAACGGAGGAGCGGAACTGGGAAGCTTTGAAGGAAGCCATTATACGCAGATTTCAACCTGATTTGATCCAAAACCCTTATGGACCAATGCTGAGTCTTAAACAACGGGGGTACTGTGAAGGAATACAGAGAAGAGTTTGAGATGGTTATTGCTCCGCAAAGAAATTTTGACAGGGATATACTGAGGGGAATTTTCATTAATGGGCTTAAGCCGGAAATTAAGTCTGAACTGAAACTATTCAATTCCAGGTCCCTGGCTGAAATTATGGATACATCACTGTTGATTGAGACCAGGAATGAGGCCCTCTATATTCGGAATAAGGAGGAAGATAAATCAAACTGGAAGGATAAGGGACCTATCACTTATAAACCAGCAGTTTGGGGAGAAGGATACAAGTCTAAATCTAGTAATTCATGGCCCAGCACAAGTGGGAAGAATGCTGCAGAAAACAAGAGTAACCCATCCTGGTTTACTCCTGAGGGAAAGAAGGAGACTGAAATAAATCCCTCAGACATCAGGAGGGTGGGGCCACAACTGTCACAAGAAGAATATCTGGACAGGAGCAGGAAGGGACTTTGTTTTAAGTGTGGAGAAAAATGGAACAAAGAACACTCTTGCAAACTAAAGAATTATAAACTCATAATGGTGGAAGATTCTGATAATGAGGAAGACATAGAAGGTGCAGAGGTGGAAATTAAAGCTGAAGAAGGAACTACCATGGAATTTAAGTCCATGCAACTTTCTGTTATGAGTAAGGAAGGGATACATTCTCTGAGGACTTTCAAGGTCAATGGGAGTTTAGAATGGGCTGAAGGGAAGGCAGAGGTTGCTGTACTCATTGACAGTGGGGCTACCCACAACTTCATTTCCCAAAACCTGGTGAAACAACTGGAACTACCTTATACTACCACCCCGGGGTACAAGGTTCAAATTGGGAATGGAGAGAAGGTTTCCAACAACGGTCGATATGAGAATCTGACTTTGTGTATGCAGGGTACTAACATAAAGCAAAAGTTCTATATGTTAAATTTAGAAGGAACTGATTTAGTGTTGGGCATGGAGTGGCTGACTACTTTGGGGAATGTGGAGATAAACTTTCAGAAGCAGAGTATTAAATGGAAGGTTCAGGGGGTAGCTCAGCAGATTCAAGGAGATCCACACCTGAATTCCATGGAGATATCATTGAAAACCATGACTCAGATTCTGCAGGACACTGGTGTGGGGTATTTTATGTTTTGTGAAGGACAATCTGTGAATGAAAAGAGTGTGGCTTGTGCTGGAAGTCTGGAAAAAAATCTGGGGGCTTTGACAAAATCTTGGGTGCAGGATGATCCACAGTTTATTACAATTGAAGAGTACATGTTCAACCAATGTGATGCAAAGCTGGGGGTGACAGTAAAGAAAAGTGCAGTCAAGTTGGGGGAGAAAATCTTGAAACCTGGTTATGAAACTGATCAACTGTACAAATTTTCCATTAAAGATCAGAATTCCTGTTTCATATTGAAGATAGCAACTGCTGAAATGTATGTGATACCAAAAGATTTGGTATTAAAATTCCTAGTCCAGCAAGCAGTCAAGTACTGGGAGGGGAGAAGTGCAAGAATGAAGTGCAAGTGGGAGATCATGGCTGACTCCTATCACCCACCTTGAGGACAAGGTGGTTGTTTAGGGGGGGAGTATTGATAGGAATAAATAAGGATTGGGCCTATTCATTAAATAATTAATGGGCCTATTCCTTACCGAGTATAATAGAAAGGATAAGAAGTCTATTATTAGTTAATAGTTCCTTTTATCCCTGCGTGGATATGGACTATAAATAGAAGGGGAGCAACTAAAATAGGTAGGCTGTTATTGAATTGGCATTTAGGCTTGGAGAGTGGGCTTCTCGAACAGTCCCGTTGCTTGTACCCTACGTTGATCGTTTCCTTCAATAAACACTACTATTACTCCATTTCTCTGCAGATCTTCTCTATATTGTTACTGCTCTTGCTTGATTATTGTCAGTAATCTATCATTGTCTTATAAAACTTCAACAGCTCCCATAACTTGTGCACAACAATGCTATCCTGCAATGTCAGATTTCCTAACTGCCAAGGACCCCAGTTTGGCCAGTTATCCTCTTTCCTTTCCCTTATAAGAGAGCCAAAAACTCTTGCAGCCATAGAACAAACTTCAGGTACCACAACAAACTCTTTTTTGTTATAAATCTGGTCTTCAACATTGCTGCCAAGAGCCAACTTATCCGTCCATTTCA